ACTGAATGAGATTTAGCTTCATTGGCGGGATTTTGTGTTGTGTTGTTTTGCAGTATTTGTTACTGGGATTGTTGTGTTTTTATTATATGTGGTTTTATGTGTTTTAAATAAGGAATTATAATAATTCTGATTTTGCAAACTGCCCAGGCAGCCTGTGAGCCAGTGAGCACTGGCCACACGCAAGAAATAAATGCGGGGGGGGGGGGGGGGGGGGGGGGGGGCGGCAGAGGAAGGGCAGGAAGAGCAGGCTCTGCCCCTGCCGGAGGAAGAAGAGGGGCTGCCCTGGGGGCGTTCGGCCCCGCGGGTCCTGGTGCAGGCCAGCAGGTCAGCCCGAGGAGAGTGCCCCGCGGGGCCCGGCTGCCCGGAGCAGGGGCCGGGGCTCCGGCTCCCGTGGTGCCCACATCCTGCCGGTCCTGGGCGCGCTGTGCCATGGCACGGCGCCGGGCAGCCCTTGCCTCGCTCGCGGAGGCGCGCCGCGGCGCAGTGCCCGGCTCGGCCGCACGCAGCGGTCCCGTGCCCAGAGCAGGCGGCGGTCCCGCCGCTGCCCCTCCGGGCCGCTCCGCGCTGGGGGGCTCCGGGGGGCGGCCGGGCCTGGAGAGGCCGCAGCGCGCAGCATGCCCTGCGCGAAAGCCCCGCGGCCCGCGCCCCCACGGCCTGCGCCCTGGCGGCCTCGCCCGGGCAGCTGGCCCCGCGCCGGCCAAGCGCGCCGGCCCGCTCTGCGCGAGGGGAGCGCGCCAGCTCGGAAGTGCGCGGCGTTTGGAGGCGCGAGAGGGCAGCCGGCCGGGCAGGGCTGCGACTGTCTCCTCGGGGGGGGGGGGGTCTTCCCGCCGCCCCGCTGCCAGGGTTGGTGACCTTGGTATAGCCCACTCCACCAAAGCAGCTTCCAAAGTGGTTTATAAATGATGATAATTTATGCCCTGAAGGAGCGCCTCTTCCCCTACACGCCCTCAGGAGAGGCTCTGCTCCGGGAACCCTCTTCTTTAAAGGAGATAAAAAGAACATCTACCCAGAGCAGGGCCTTCTCCGCGGTGGCGCCCTGATTATGGAATGTGCTCCATGGAGAGGTGCGCCTGGCGCCAAGTTTATATTCTTTCTGGCGCCTGGTTAAAGCCTTTTTATTTAATTGCTATTTGTAAAAACTAATATTTTATTAACAGTTGCTCTTCTTGGTTTCTGTTTTTATATAATCTTTTATGGAATTTGTTATTTTTTATTGTTTTTAATTGTATGTGTTGTGAGCCATCCCGGGATGCCAAGGCATGTGGTGACGGCATACAAAAGTTTCAAATAAAATAAATAAATAATAACGACCAATTAGATGCTGTCGTGATAATACTGAATTCCAGATGTAAGTCTGGGGAGAGGCCCTTGTAGCGGGGGAAGGACAAGGTTGCCCTTGCAGTATTTTGCCACCCTGCCCTTGCAGGTCTCTGGGAGGCAGTGCCAGCCTATTTTAAATACATATACAGCATTGCGTTACCCTTTCCTCCTGAGGATGCTCAATTTATGTCCATCACAAACTCTTAGAAAAAGCAAAAAACAGAAAAGCTGTGAGCAGGATTCTGGATTGCTGGAGGAGCCCGTTTCAACCTTTTTGTAAACTCTCTGAAGGCTGAAAGCCATCAGATCCAGCCCAGCTGCTGCAGGACACCAATATGCTGCACCCCACCGAGATGGCGGTCTCAATTCTTTCTGAATGTCTCCAGTGTGGGAAAGCCCAAACCTCTCCAGGCAGCCGGTCCCACTGCCGTGTTGCTCTGACCGTGAGGAAGCTTTTCCTGATGTCCGGCCTGGATCTGTGTAGTTGCAGCTTGAACTGATTATTCCGTGTCCGGCACTCTGGCATCAGCGAGAAGGGATCCTGGCCTTCCTCTTTGAGGGACTTCTAGAGGGACACCATGTCCCCCCTCAGTCTCCTCTCCTCAAGGCTGAACATGCCCAGTTCTCTCAGTCTCTCCTCTCAGGGCAGTGTTTCCCAAGCCTGGATCATTTTTGTCGCCCTCCTCTGGACCCTTTCTAGTTCTTCTGCATCCTTCTTAAATCATGGCACCCAAAACTGGACACGGAATTCCAGTTGAGCCTGACTAGGGGAACTACCACTTCTCATGATTTGGAAGTAATACCTCTGTTTATGCTTCCCAGAACAGGATTGGGCCTTTTTTGCAGCTGCGTCACATCATTGGCTGATACTTAGAAACATAGAAACATAGAAACAGGGCAAGTCAGAAGGGGTCCCCCGGGCCATCTAGTCTGACCTCCGGCACCAGCCAGCTCTACTCACGACGTGCCCACCATGTGCATGTCCAGCCTGTCCTTGAACACCCGCACCGATGGGGCCTCAACCTCCTCCCGGGGAAGCCCACTCCACACCCTCGGGGTCTTGACTGTCAGGAAGCGCTTCCTGGCATCCAAATGGAACCTTGGCTCCCTGAGCTTTGCTTCATTGGAGCGCGTCCTGCCTTCCTCTGCAGGGGAGAACAGGCCTCTGCCCACCTCCGTGTGACACCCCCTCACGTACCTGCATGTCACCAACAGATCCCGTCTGAGTCTCCGCTTCTCCAGGCTGAAGAGACCCAGTTCCCTCAGTCTCACCTCATGTGGCATCCCCTGTTGTCTACAATAATGCCAAGGTTCGTCCCCCCCGTCCCCCCCCAGTTCTGTTGAGTCACATAATCCCCCCTCGATGGCTTTGGTCTCCTTTTCCCAGGTGGGGGACTTGGCAGTTGCCCCAACTGAGGCTCATTCACTGCTTGCTTCCAGCCCCGCGTTTGAGCCGATCAGGAGCACCCTGAAGCTTCGTTCTGCCTTGCAGGGAATCCCTGCTCCATCCCGTCTCGGACCCTCTTCTGTCATCAGAAGTCTGATGCTGACCGATTCTGCAGGTTTAATGGAGCAAAGCCTCGAAGCACCAGCCTCTTTCCAGCTTGCCAACCCGGCAGGGCTGTCTCTGTGGAAGCGGCATCAGCAAAAGCAGGCTGGGAAGTGTGGCGGCTATTTATTTATTTATTCATTTATAATTTAACGTTTTTATATGCCATCCCCTTGCTACATAGCTTCGGGACGGCGCTTTAGGCATGGATGCCACGGCTGCCAAGAACCGGCCAGACCGGAACGGCTGGGCCTGCGCGCAGTGCAGGGCTTGGCGCCTCCCTCCCTTCGTAGGCCTGAGGAATGTGCCGGGGCTTGTTCCAGGAAGCCACGTGGTGCGGCAAGGAAGAGCTCTTCTGGTTGTTCTGTGCCACCAAGGCGTCTCCCGCTTATGGCGATCTCATGAACTAAAGCCTTCGCAGTGCTCTGTCCACGACAGCCCCGGTCAGCTGGAGGGAGCGGTTCCCTTTTCAGGGTCCGCTCATCTCATAGTTGCCTTCCTTTTCTTCATCTGCCTCCAAACCCAGGCTCCATTTAGATGCCAGGAAGCGCTTCCTGACAGTCAGGACCCCGAGGGTGTGGAAGGGGCTTCCACGGGAGGTGGTAGAGGCCCCATCGGTGAGGGTGCTCAAGGACAGGCTGGACGTGCACATGGTGGGCATGTTGTGAGCGGGGCTGGCTGGAGCCGGGGGTCAGACTAGATGGCCCGGGAGGCCCCTTCCGGCTCGCCCTGTTTCTATGTTCCTTCTCCAGGGAGTCCTGCCCTCTCAGGCTGTGTCCAAAGTACAGCAGCCTCGCTTTGTCATCTCTGCTCCTAGGGAAACTCTGCCTTAATTTGATCCGGGACCCACCACTTGCTTGTCCTTCTGCTGGACTGGGGTATTTTCAAAGCTCTCCTCCAGCACAGCAAAACAGCTTTTGCTGGGATCCAAACCTCACACAGCAACACCCCCGAAGCCGACGGTCCCTTTGCAAGCAGTAAACTGAGAGGGTGATGTAAGTCCTCCCTAGACCGCTTGAGAGACGCTGAGAGGAACAGGTTGTGGGGCTGAAGGCAATTTTTCCAACCTTGCATAGGGGGGGTTCTGGCATTCCCCCGACCCCCGAGAAGGAGCAAGGATGTTGCATTTTGAAACCAAACCCCTGCCCCTGGCGAGAAGCTTTGTTTGCCCGGACCAGGCCGGGCTCCTCTGCGTAACGGGGACTCGCTGGAAAGCTCACAACGATCCCTTGCTTTTTGATTTCCGCTTCCTGACTTGTTAGGTCCATGCAGCATCGCCTGCATCGACGCCGCACGGTCCTGTCCACAAACCAGAGCGGTAGGAAAGGGGTCAGCGCCACCGACAAAATGAGACCACCCCCCACCCGCTGTCCCTCCACTTCTCCCACCCCACCTGGGAAGGCAAACGGTCACATGACCCCTCCAGCCCAACCTGGAAAAATGCACGCTCCTTTCCCCCTTCAGCCAGCTCCCAGCTGGTCTGCGCAGGGCATCCTGGCAAAGATAGCAGCAGCTCGGCCCCCTGCCAGGCGCCTGCGGATGCTTTGCCAGCGAGGGAGCCTCCTCGCTTTGGGTGAAAAGCCCCTCGGTGCGGATTCCAGTGGATCGGGCCGCAGGCCACGGCCTCTCCCCCGTTCCATGCACAGCGCTCTCTGGAGCCTGCACATGGCCCAGCATGCGGGCACCGTGGTTGGTCCTGGGCCACCTGCATGCCAGGCAGGCGCTGCACCCCGGCTCTAGCGGAGGGGTGTACGCACCCCGGAAGCGTCGGGCCGACCCCTTGCCCTGGCCGGCTGGGCCACGCTTGCCCTCCCTGCTGCCACGTCCTTCCAAAGCGACCCTCTTCTGTGATCTCTTCCCCCTCGGGGCGGGTGGCATTCCTGATCAGAGCCCTGGGCCACCAGGGGCCAAAGCTGCAGCGGGCAACAGAGGCTAAAGAGGAAGGGGCAGCCTGAGAGGTGCATCCCCCTGCATCCCCCTGCCCCCGTGGCAGCCGGGGTGGATCCGGGTGTGGGGAAACCCGGGGCTCAGGTCCCCGGGCAGCCCTACGGCTCCCTGCAGGGCTCCGTGCAAGCGCTTCCTGGCCTCCCGAGCGGGAGCCGCATCCACGGGGAAGGAAGGCACGCCCAGCCAGACTTTCGTGCAGGTTTATTTCGAAAAGCAGCAGCTCTGCGGGAGAACGTCGCCTGGCGCCGGGGAGGTCAAGTCCGGGGAGGTCAAGCTGGACGTGGCCCAGGAGCAGGCTGCCGGCCGGCGGCTCTGTGCTGGCGCGGCGGAGTGGCCCTCGCTCGGCTCTGCAGCAGGTGCAGCGGCCCCTTCCCGCTACTCGGGCGAAGTCTGCTGCTTTGAGGGAGGCTGGGTCTGAGAATCGGGGGGAGCCGGTGGCCCTGGGGAGGACAGAAGGCAGCCGGCAGATTAGCGAGAAAGAGGAGACGTGGCCGGCCGCCAGCCCTGCTCTCTGGCTTGCTCCGTGCTGGAGCGGTGGCCGGCCGGCCCGGCTCCGGGTTCGTGATGGGCATCTGGGGAGAGGCAGGCGGGGCTCGGCTGCGCCCAGAAATGCAGCCCAGGGCGTGGGCGCTTCCGGCCTGGACGGCCCTTCCGTGAGCACGGCGGAATATTTGCAACGCCGCAAAGAGTCTACGCAGCTGCTACAAAGGCATCTCCTGCCTCACTGGCCTTTCCTTCCTTCCTTCCTTCCTTCCTTTGCTGCCCTTTCCCCTTCAAGGAAGGTGGGGAGCTTGCATAATCTCCCCCTGCCTCTCAATTTTATCCTTGCAACAACCTACAACTGCCCCAAAGTCCCCCAGCAGCTGAGTGAGAACCCGGACTCTCCGGATCCCAGGCTGGCGCTCCGGGCCAACATGCCACCCCGGCCCTCGAGCCTTTCCAGTTTTTCAAATGCTTTGAGCATGTCAAGTACAGGCACGGGGATGATGGTTTGCTTGGACTTCCAAACGGCCTTTGACGAGGCCCCTCACTAGGGGTCTCTGAGCAGATTTAGGAGTCATGGAATAAGAGAAGCAGGGTTCTCCTCCAGATCAGGAGCTGGTTAAAGAACAGAAAGCAGGGAGTGAGAAAATGGCGATTTCTCCCAGGGGTGGGATGCACCCAGTGGGTGCCGCAGGGTCCTGAAATGGGAACAACGCTTTGCAACGAATTCATGGATGATCTGGAACTCAGCCTGAGAAGCAAAGCGGTCTGGCTTGCTGATGACTGAGAGCCAGTGCGGCCTAGTGGTTAGAGTGTTAAACTGGGACTTGGAAGATCCAACTTCTAGTCCCCATTTGACCATGCAGCTTCCTGGGCGACTGGGCCAGTCACTGCTTTTAGCCTAAGCCACCTCGCAAGGTGGTTGTTTTAAGGACAAAACGGAATGGAGGAGGGAGGGTACGTAAGGCATCTTGGCTTCCTTGAGGGAAAAAGTGGCTGCTCCGGTTTAAAACCCTGAATTTTATTGCAGCCAGCAGCCAGGGTGCGTCGATAATTTTATCTATGTTATATTTTATTGTCTTACCTATGTGAGCCGTCCTGAGGTTTTCACGACAGGACGGCATACAAATATTTTAAACAAACAAACAAATAAATAATTTAAGGGGGCTGAAACAAAACGGGGATGGCAAGGAATGCCAAAGAGACCCTTGGAGCAGGGAGAAGGCATCGAAATGGCAAGTGCGGGTCGGTGCGAGGAAGTGCGAAGCGATGCGCTCTCGGGCAAGGAGTCCCTGCCCCGTGAAGGCGGCTGGGATTCCCCCGGCCAAGACCCGGACACGGCCGAGGAGAGCCGCAGAGCAGACCGGCGCTCGCTCCGAGCAGGTGCGATTGTGCGAGGGGCGGGTGGCCCTGGAGGACGGAGGAGGCGGGAGGAACGGGGCGCCTGCTCGGGGTGGGAGCTCGGAGCACCGCTTGCTTTTTCTCAACTTGCATTTTCTCCCGGGAGACCGGAACGTTTGCAAACGGGGCTCGCTCTCGAGTGCTCGGGCCTCAGAAAAATGCGGGGGGGGGGGCTTTACTCACAGGGCACAGCTGCCTCTGGGTCCCGTGGTGGCAAGAACCGGATGTGCGGAGACGTGGGGCGGGCGCAGTGTGGGGCAGAGGACGTGCCAGGGGTGTGGACAAGGCCCACCTGCCCCGCCTTACCTGCAGCGAAGCATATTTTGCCGCAGCCCAGGGGGCAGCACTTCTGGGACCCCCCACAGTCACCGTCCTCGCAGCACTCCTGCTTGCATGGCAGCCCCGGGGGGATTTTGAACTTGGGGCACTGCCCGGGCTTGACTGTAAAGAAAGGTGCGGGGCGTCAGCGCCGCAAAACTGAAAGCCACCTGAGCTTCCTGGGACTGAGAAAATGGCCTTCGTCGAATACGCGCCTATTCAAAGACAGGGGAGAGATGGCGTGTCGGCAAAATGAGAGCGGCTGGCAAAGCAAAGGCGGGTGAGTGCAGTTCCTTCTGGCCCCGTCTGCCCCCAGAGGGGCTCAAGGGCCTTCCTCGCCCAGGGGGAGATCAAGCTGAGGGGCTGGATTGGCGCTCGGGACTGATGGGCGAAGGCCCAGGAGCACCGCCTCGCTCGGAAAGGGTTCGCCTCTCTGGGGCCGGGGAGCTGAATCCCGGCGTCACGAAGGGCCCGGCCGAGCAGCCTCGGAGCCACTGCCTGTGCTCTCGGACAAGCATGGAGGGCAGGCCACGGGCCGGATGCCTGGAGGAGGGCCGGCTGGGCCAGTGGAGCCTCGAGAAGGGAAGGCTGGGGGGTGGGACCGCACGGCTCAAGTTCTCCAACGGCCACTGGGGTCTCACGGGACAATGGGCTCAGGTAACCGGGAGCCAGGTTCCGGCCGGAGACCGAGAGGGCTTGCAGCACCGCAGTGCAGCCCGTGCCCTGGGGGCGGGGAGGTGGGCTGTCCCACCAGGGGGTCTCCACATTGCAACTGGACAGCCACCTGAGAGGGACGGCTAGCCTGGAGCCCTGCACTGAGGAGCGGCTTGCACCCGACGGCGTGCCCCATTCCAGCTCGGCTCCTCTGTGATTCTGTGAGGAGGCCTGGAACGGGATGAACGCCTCCTGCAGGGACACCCTTCATCTTTCGAGACCCTTGTGGCACACTGCAGGCAGAGGCGTGCTTTACGGCAGAGGTTTCCACGGCCTGGATTGTGGCTATTCGGGGGCATGAGGGGAAGGCTACACCCAGTGGGTGAATTATGCTGTGCTCACGGTATGGCGAAATGGAGGAAGGAGAAAAAATAAACTTACACAGATTAATGGGTTCGTGCTCAGCAAATGCGGACGCCTGGGCTTCCCGGACGTAAGAGCAGCCGTGCCGCCGTGCCGCAGCCTCACAATGTGCGGAGGGAGCCCAGCGCCACGGAGAGCCACGCAGAGAGCGTGATGTGGGTTCTTGCAGTGGCGTGCAAATGGGCAGGATGGGTGGACGATGGGTGCTGGGGGTGCTGGGCCAGCGGGCTGGCTGGGGGACTGGGAAGGCACTGCACGGATGAGCCAGTCCCAGCCGGGGCCTGTTCAAGCAGGGTGGCAGCTCCTGGCCTCATCCAGCCCTCCGGACAGGGCAGGAGCGTCCGTTCTGCGAAGGCCCCTCTGCCCCCCTCACCCCCCCGAGCAAGTGGAGCGCCCCGTGGAAGACAAGGCTGGTCGGACGGGGGAAGCGCCTGCGTACCAGAGAGCAGTGGAGTCTGGCAGGTGTGGCCACAGCCGTTGCTGCAGCACTTCTGGTCCCCCGGACAGGCGTCATCCGCAGAACAACTCTCCACGCAGAGGCCGGCGCCGGTGGGCCTGGGGCACGCTCCCGGCTTCCCTGGAACAGAGGAGCCACGCGAGTGCCGTGCCGGGCAGGGCCGCCTTCCTCAGCCGGCCCGTTTTGCGCCTCCGGCCGCCCGAATCACACCCTCGCCCCGACCGCGTCGTGCGGTCACTCGCCCCGCCTTTGGATGTGTGCAAAGCGAGGGGGCAGGGGGCGCAGAGGCAGGCTGGGGGCACGACACGCATGGGGCACGGGCTTATCTCCCAGTGCCCCTGGGGGAGCGCACCCCACTGCTGTGGGGCAGAGCAGCTGCGGTGCTCAGAGCGCAAACTGGTTTGGAAGCATCCCGCTGAACTTGGCAAGCCAGACTGCTGCACACACGTGCCTGGGATGGGGCTGTGTGTGTGTTTGGGGGGGGGGGGGGCTGTGTGTGTCTGCGGCTCCCCCTGCTGGCACGTTCAGCTTCGGTCGCTGGTGCACCGCAGCCCCATCGCGCGACACGACGGACCTCCTTCGCTGGGACGGGGGTCCGGCGCAGCTAGAGGTTCAGGCAAGATCGCGACGAGCGCTCCCTGCCCAGCTCTGCCTCCAGTCCCTGGCGCCTCCTGACCTGGTCAGGGCCCATGTGCCAGAGGCGAGACGAAGTGCCGCAGTGCCCGATGCAGAAGCTCCCAGGGGCGCCCCCTTCCCCCACGGCTCACAGACCACCCCCACCAGGGCTCCTCCACCCTTCGCTGCCCCGCCTTTGTGTGCCAGGGGGGCAGGCCCTGCCCGAGCTTCCTTCCCTGTGTGGCTGGGATGGGCGCAACGCTGTGGCCAAGCAGCCCCTGCGCGGGGCCTTCTTCGCCCACTCGGACGGCGCCTTCGCTCTTGGGTGGCGGCCGCCTCCTCCTGCAGTGCAGCCCCCAAAGCTGTTGCCTCGGAGCCGGTTCCGAAGCAGCAAGGCGGCTGGGATTCCCCGCCGGCCGTCCTGCCGGGGCCAGCAGACCTGGAGACAAGCTTGGCTTTGGCCAAGAATCCGACAGCTTCAAGCCGTGCCGGGAAAGATGGGCGAGCAAGTTGCAGGGGCGGAAGGAAGCCCGCCTCTTCACCCAGAGGGCGGCATCGGGCTGGAGGGCGATGGGTGTCCCCGGAGGAGCAGGACCCGCCCCCAAGCTGCAGCCGGCTCTTGGTGGCCTGGAAGGGAGGGCGGGAGGGCATCCCCCTTCCCTGCATTTCCCTCATCAGCTGACACGGCTGGTCTTCAGCGATTCTCTTCTTCTGTGCTGAACAGCTGGCCCGGCTGGGCGGCTTTAACGGAACAGAGGCTTTCACCAGAAAGCCCCCTGCTGGACCTGCTTGGGGGCGTGGGCAGGGGGGGCGGGCGCAGTGGCCGCTGGCTCCGTGGGGGACATTCCAGGCGGAGGGTCAGCCGAGGCGGGTGGCTCAGGGCCGCTCCTGGCCGCCCTGCTTACCTCCAGATGGACACGGCCGCTTTGGGCTCCGTGCCGACGTCGGCGCAGTGCCGAGGACGAGGAGCCCCGCGAGGACGAGGAGCCCGGGCCTCATGGTGCAGCCGGGAGCCAGCGCTGAGTGCCGAGCCTCCCGTGGTGCCGGGTTATAAGCACGGGCCCTGCGTGCAGGGGCTGGCTCAGCTGCCAGAGGGGAAGGTGATGCAAGAGCGCTGTGGCCGTTGGGCTGGCTGTTTCTCGAAAGCCAGGGGGAGATTGCGTGAAATGGGCCGGATGTGAGCAGGTTGTCTTGGACGGCTGAGCAAAACCAGCCTGTGGGGGGTGCTTGCGGCCTGAGCGAGCAGCATGCCACGAAACCCGAGCACCCTGACCGGCTGGCCTCCGCCCTTGCTTCGTGGCTGGAGCCTGCAGCCCGGCTCGGCTGCAGCGACTCGGCTGCTCCCTGCGGGCCTCGGCGAGCAGCCCCCCGCTGGGCATCATGGGGCGCTGTTTGCACTCCGGGCCCCCTCGTGGTGCTAGGCCGGCTGGGGGATTGTGGGAGCTGCAGTCCAAGCTGCCTGGGTGGAAATCGGAGCCCCTGGACAGAGAGCCCCCTGGGCGGGGCGGGCGACTTGCTTTTGGGCCCATCCAGAACTCGAAGGCACCATCAACCCTGCCCTGGAAGGCCTCGCCTGACGAGCCACGGGCCGCTTGCGCCCCCTGTCTGTGCGTGGCACGTGGGCGGGCTGGGCTTTGCTTTCCTGCCCCTGCTCGATCAGACGGAACCGGGACACTGGGCAGGAGGTGGCCTGACCCCAAACAGCCACGCCGTTCCTCGTCTTGGCTAGAGATGGGTGAATTTATGCAACCTTTCTGTCTTGTTTCAGCAGGGCCTCTGACAAAGCGCCCCATGATATCCTGGTGGAGAAACGGAGCTTTGGGATACACCAAAGCACCGTCCGGTGGATTAGGGCATGGCTGACTGACCGAAAGCAGAGGGTAGCCATTAGCGGGGAATCATCGGGATGGCGGCCAGTGATAAGTGGGGTCCCCCAGGGCTCTGTCCTGGGGCCGATCCTGTTTAATCTTTTCATCAATGACATGGAAGAAGGGGAGACCAGTCTACTGGTCAGATTCGCAGATGATACTAAAACTGGAGCAGTGGCCACAACTGAGGAGCAGGTACTCCGGATCCAAAGGGATCTGGACAGACTATGGAAGTGGGCAGGAGACAACAGGATGGCGTTCCGTGTGGAGAAGCGCAAGGTCTTGCACTTGGGGCACAGGAATGGGTGTCATAAGTGCAGGTCAGGGGACAAGTGGCTGGAGAGCAGCACTCGTGAAAGGGACCTCGGGGTGCTGGTTGACTGCAGGCTGAACGTGAGCCAGCCGTGCGATGCGGTGGCCAAGAGGGTGAACGCCACCCTTGGTTGCATAGCCAGAAGCATGGCTTCTAGATCAAGAGAGGTGTTACTACCACTCTACACGACTCTGGTGCGCCCGCAATTGGAGTATTGTGCTCAGTTTTGGGCCCCTCATTACAGCAAGGATATAGCCAGGTTGGAGTCAGTGCAGCGTAGGGCCACAAGGTTGGAGGCCGATTTGCAGGGGAGGCCGTATGAGGCAAGGCTGAGGGAACGGGGTCTCTTCAGCCTGGAGGAGACTCCGAGGGGGTCTGTTCGCGACATACAGGTATGTGAGGGGATGTCACATGGAGATGGGTGGAGACCTGTTCTCCCCTGCAGAGGAAGGCAGGATGCGCTCCAAAGGAGCAAAGCTCAGGGAGCCAAGGTTCCATTTGGATGCCAGGAAGCACTTCCTGACAGTCAGGACCCCGAGGGTGTGGGGTGAGCTTCCCTGGGAAGTGGTTGAGGCCCCATCGGTGCGGGTGTCCAAGGACGGGCTGGACGTGCGCATGGTGGGCATGTTGTGACCGGAGCCGGCTCGTGAGCCGGCACGACAAAGTAGAATCTCCAGTAAAAGCCGCTAAGAAACGCTTGAGAAAGGCCAAAGCAACCCTTTGTGCTGCTCTCGAGCTTAGACTTTGGGATGGCGTGCCTGGATAAGCTGAAAGTGCTCTCTCCCCAGCACTTTCGGACCATCTAAGCTTTCCATCCCAGAACCTGACAGGGCAGGGGAACTGCTGGCTTCCCCTGACTCTTGCTGGGAGGGCGAAAGCCGCTGCTTCCGGCCAAGACCACCGCCCTGGAGAGCGCCACAAAAAGGACTCGGTTTAAATAAAACGTGCCCGTGTGCTTGGAAGACAAAGTGCGCATGAGCTCCGGAGCGTGGCCTGCAGGAGCCCACAGGGCGCTGTACTCTTGAGCCGCGCTCCCAGCCCTATTCCTGGCCCAGTCATGCCCAACAAGGCTCTGGGGCCGCAAGGGTTCCCCCGGGGGCCTGTGCCCGGTTCATGGGGTGTCGGGGGCCAATTTGCTCCCAAGCCTTCGCTCCACGTGCCGCCCCATGGCCGGGGCTAGAGATGTCCAAAGGAGCGCCTTCTCCCACATGAGATGGCTGGTGTTGGAGGAATGCGGAAGAGAGCCTCCTCTGCTTTCTGGCCGCCGGCTCGCAGAGGGCCCGGCCTCCAGGGGCCCGGCTGGCAGCTCTTGGCCCCCGCTCCACGAAGCCTTCCTGTTTCGCGGTGCCTTTGCCTGGGCCCAGCCCCCCCCCCCCCCCACTGCTGTGATTATCTGACTTCTGCTTCTTCACTTCATTTTCGTTTGGCCTATATTGTTTAATGGGCAGTATAATGTTTTGCTTGATGTCTTGCGTTGCCTAGCGAGCAGTGAAATGTTTTAATCAACATAAATAATGCACTTTTCAAATTAAAAAATGGAAAATGACTTTGGATGGTGGAGGACGAAAGGCAGGATGGTGCACGAGGCTAGGCATGCTAACAGCCGTTTTATGAACTGCCGACCCTCCAGCCACCACGAGAACCTTGATGCCTCGAGCTGCATCGGGACAAGGGGAGCTGCGGCCAGACGCCACGGCGGTCCGGCCTTCCTGATCCAAACAGAAGACAAACAGGCACCCACTGCTTCAGGTGAAAACAATCTGTGACTATTTGGGGGTGCCTTGGAGGAGAGCAGAAGGCAGGCAATCTGTGAGGGACGCAGAATAACGTGGGGCGGAATGCCATGCGAGGGCAGAGCGCAAGACAGCCGATTCCTCCCCGGACGCCTCAGCCTGGGCTGGACTGCCCCTTAGGTCAACCCCAGGGCTGCTCTTGCCCCTAGAAGGAGGAGCTGCTGCTTTCCTAGCAGAGCAAGGCTTTCAGCTGGAGGCAGGGACACGGTGATGCCGCCTCCCCAGCCCTCTGTCTCCCAAATATTCCTGCGTTCCCCTTCCTTCCGCCGAGCCTATTTCTGGACCAAACTGCCCAGGCTGGAAAATGTTGCCTCTCCAAGACGGAAAGGTGGCTGCGGCCTCCTCAAATATTAATTTGCTGCTTAACCATCGTTCAATATTTGCAGAAGCTCTCCAGCTCCCTCGGTCATCCAGCAGACCACAGCGACGGGGAAGCGGCATCTGGGCCTTCGGGAACTGATCTCCGGTGTTTGCCGAAGGCAACGCTGAGCTCGCTGCGCCTGTGAAGGACATCGCATCGGCTTGCAGTCGCATGCGCTCAGCCGTCTCGGCCTCCTCTCCCTATCATTCTGCTTTTGGAGTGTTCCTGGTGATGGGAGAGTGCCGCATTTTGGCCATGTAATTTCAACTAAGTGGTGCCTTCTTGAGCCTTTGCAGTGGAGCCCGCGCAACCCGCAGCCAGGAGAGACTTCTGGGCAGACTCCCCTTCGCCAGGAGGGGCCTCCGGAAGGGGACTCCTGGGGCCACGGGCCGGCCAGCAAGTGGAGCGGCCGCAGCCTCGGGCCAGGTGCTGCCGAGGGGGCCCAGGGCCAGGGCCAGGGCCTGAGACAGGCAGGGAGGGAGAAGCCTCGCAGCCCAGGTCCTTTCTGGCCAAGGAGAGGCTGGCCTCTCTTGGCTGCGGGTGCACATTTGTTCTGGAATGACTGGGAGACGAAACCGACGGGGCCCATTCATGGCGCTTCACTCATGACGGAACATGCACAATGGAAGGGAACGGCTCCACGACGGGCCGCTCCGGACCTGCTTCGCGCAGTCTTGCTTACCTCGCTGGCAGCCACGTCGCTTTGCAGCCACCGAGAGAGGAAGGAGGGCAGCTGTGCCGGCGTGCCGGTTGCATTTTCTGCTGGCGATCCAGCCGGCCCTGCGCTAGGTTCCAGCCAGGACGGAACCCTGCGAGAGAGAACCCTTGCCAGACCTCGGTCAGACTAAGAAGCAAGTTGCTCGTCTCTGAGCTGCTTCCTCGGATGCCAGTTCGGAACAGGGAGTCGCGGCAGAGAAGAGCGGGGGCAGACACGCAAGGAGCCGCCGGAGAGGCTTCTGCAATCCAAGGCACGCCTCCAGGCGCACGCCTGGAGCCGCCCGGCTGCCTGGGCATGGTGGGAGGCGCAGGCCTTCCTTTGCAGGCAGTTGTGGGCTCCCCCCAGCCCCTCAGGCTGCACTGCACAGGACTGCCCCTTCAGAGCCCGCCTGGGGCATCTCTGTGGGAGGGTGGCCCTGGGCTGGGGGCGGGCGGGAGGCCTAGCCGAGGAAGTCTGGGCCAGCCACATGCGGGGCAAGAGACAAGCAGGAGCTCTGAGCAAGTGCAAGCAGGCAGCTCCTTAAGACTGAGACAGGCGAGGCAAAATGAGCGAACGTGGAGCCAAGTCCGGCTCCCCAACTCCCTCCATGCCTTGGGGCGCCCCCACCTGTTATCCGTGGGTAGCACGGAGCTCTGGGCCAGGACTTGGGGAGTGTGGGTTCTGGTCCCCCCTCCACCCTGAAACTCTCTGAGTGTGTTGGGCAAGGCCGGACTCCCCGCCTGCAAGGCTGTCGTGAGGACGACGTGTGGGGCAGGAGGGCCACGGAGGCTCCTTGCAAGAGGACTGTCATGTGGAGGGGGGGCCGTGGCCTGTGCTCCCCTGCGGAGGAAGGCAGGATGCGCTCCAAGGGAGCCAAGCTCAGGGAGCCCAGGCTCCATCTGGATGCCAGGAAGCACTTCCTGACAGTCAGGACCCCAAGGGTGTAGAAGGGGCTTCCACGGGAAGTGGTTGAGTCCCCATTGGTGCGGGTGTTCAAGGATGGGCTGGACA